CCAAATGCTTACAAATGGGTTACTCTCCCTAACTTATTGTAGTTAAAACCTTTTCTGCAGGGGAAAATTTTAATCAATGTATATGGCCTATTCAGCATTTTTTTTTTTAAGAATTCATTTGAGAATACATAAGGCAATAGATCATCTACTTAGTATTTCCATCATCAAGTCAAGAGAGTGAATGCCTGGGCCCAACCTGCCAACTGAAGGCCTAATTACCTCTCTCTCTCGGCTTCCAGGCATATATGCCTAAATCACTGGTGCAGGCCCCTATCTGCTACCAACCTGCTTATTTTATAGTTTTCGAATAATAAATCGGTAGTGATTCCTGTTTGTTTTCTATGTTTTTAAATTTTTTTCAGTCAAGGTTGTATTTTAAACTTGTTTAATTTCCCTTGAATTCTAAGGTTCTATAAGATTTCTTCCCAGTTTTGCCATATTTAAAACCAGAGCCTTTTCTTGTTTTAATTCAAAGTAATATCCCAGATGATGTTTCACTTTATTAAAAGTACCTCTTTAATAAGAAATCATGATTACTTTGCTTTAAGCTTCAGGATAAGAAAGGAGTATTTTCTCCATTATATTTAATTACTAATCAAAGTATTGAATATCATTGTAAAAATAAAATAGGAATGTCAGATGTGAACTGTGATACCAAATTGTTGATTTTTAAAAGGAAATTAATCATGTGATCTGCCCTAAGTCGTTGGTTTCAAAAATCTCAAGTATTTAACTTGATGTAACTAATATGTGCATTTAATTTTTAAACAGTTATTCCGAAGTATTAAAAAGCTTCAGCATTCTAATTTTCAGTCAATTTTCTCTGCAATGCATTGGAGGTGTCCGTTACCCTTTAAAATGACCTAGTAAGAATAATGTCCATTGTTCCAAAGTGATTTTCTTAAAATAGTATGATCCCCACCAGATATTAGTCTTCATTGAAAGAAAACTTCGGACTCTTAAGGAGAATAATGAAAAACAATTACGTATAATGGTTTAGGGTAATTTTGATTAGTAATATAATTTACTAGAAGCACTGAAGGTAGACAAGCTTGCATTCCAACCCAGACTCTGCTACTTTGTAGCTTTGACAAGTTATTTTTCCTTTCTCAGTCTTAATTTCTCTATGTGTAAAATCAAGATAACACCAACATGCCTGCCAGGTTAAAATGAGGAATACAAATGCTAGGACATCAAAAAGGACCTAGGCAGATAATAGTTTTCTAATTTTTCATTTGGAAGGATCATTGTTCTGCAGAATATTTTTATATAAGGTTTTCAGAGCCAGCAGAGACTGAATCACCTTCTGGCCAAATGCAGTGAGCTGTATAGGGAAGGAAGTACTTTGTATGGAAGACTTACAATGGGCCTGAATGTGTTTCTGTCACTTCCAACATGACCATGTATTGTTCTCCTTAATTATTTCACTTGGCAAAAAGACATTTGGCCCCTCTGCTTGTTAGCATATCCTCAGTGTAATCAGAAGGAGCCAAGCTTGACTGTTTAAAGGATTCAGCTTCTTGAAGTTTGTTCTCCTGCAGACCTACAGGGGGATTTGTCCCAGGTCCCCGTTTACAATAGAAGACCTTCCATTTACAATAGAAGACCTTCCGTGAATAATCTGATAGGGCATGAAAACAGAATAGACTCCTTTATTTGTCAGACAGGTGAGGCCCTACTTTCTCTTGTTGCTAAAAATCTGGCCTGGAAAAATGACTAGCATTGCATTAGTACTAAATTAGCCTCATTGCTTTTGCAATCATTACCCTCAAAATGATTTCACTGAGAAACCAAGAATAACAACGGAGACTTTACTCCCTTAGGGTACTGAGAAATTTGAAAATGGTTTATAATGTTAATAATAGCCATAACATCCAACAATTTATGGCAATTTTCAATGATCCAAGGTTCTTTCATGAACATTATCTCATTTGATTCTCACGTGAACCAAATAAGATTGGTAGAGCAGATACAGTTATTCTTGACTACCAATCTTATTCATTCCATTGAATAAACGAGGAAATGGAGATCAGAGAGGTTGTTTCTTGTTTAAGATTATTTAGCCCAAGAATTCCAGCACAAAACTTTTATCTGTGAATCCCCCTCTAGTCTAAGGGTAAAGGGTAAACATTGAGTGGTAACTGGTACTAGAATAGATTTGTTGCCTACAGCAATTCTGTGAAGTAGGTATTACTCCCATTTTACAGATGAGTTTGCTTGGAGTGGTTAAGGGCCTACTGAAGGTCACGTAGATAATGAAAAAGACTTTATTCAGAGGTTTCTGTCTCCGTACCCTGTGGCAGACAGTCTTCTACTCAAGTGATTCCTTTCTATCTATAGGCATGTAGACACAATCATTACTGGTGCACCTAGCACTGACTAGAATGGCCTCCAGTGATGCCTGGGATACATATTTACCTGTAACAGTGTATAAAGCAGGGATTTTCTGTAATCTCAGCACTTTGGGAGGCCGTGGCAGGCGGATCACGAGGTCAAGAGATAGAGACCATCCTGGCCAACATGGTGAAACCCCATCTCTACTAAAAATACAAAAATTAACTGGGCATGGTGGTGCGTGCCTGGAGTCCCAGTTACTCAGGGGGCTGAGGCAGGCGAAAGGCAAGTGAATTGCTTGAACCTGGGAGGCAGAGGTTGCAGTGAGCCGAGATCGTGCCACTGCACTCCAGCCTTGGGAACAAGAGCAAAACTCCGTCTCAAAAAAAAAAAAAAAAAAAAAAGGCAGGATTTCAAAAGTATCACATTTGGCAAAGCTTCAGTGTTATTCTCTTCCTTTCAGATCACCCTCATCCTTCCTACCTCCATGAAACAAGAGGAACTATACTAGGAGAAAATAGGGGCAAAATTCTCCGATTATTGGCAGTGAAGTGTAGTAGCTAGAATGGTGGGCAAAAAGCAAGACCTACGATGGAACCCCAGCTTTTGACTTACTAGCTGCATGTCCTTGGGCAACTAACTTACTTAACCACTCTGTCTTCCAGCATCTTCACCTATAAAAATGAGGATAAGGATGTCATCTACTTTATAGAGTTGACTATGACATAAAATGAGTTTATGAAAAGCACCTGGTCCATAGTAATAATAGCTAATATGATTTTGCACCAGTAGAAAATATTTGATAAATATTAAAATTGGGTTTTTGTTTGTTTGTTTGTTTTTTGAGACGGTCTCACTCTGTCACTCAGGCTGGAGTGCAGTGGTGCAATCACAGCTCACTGCAGCCTCAACCTTCTGGGCTCAGGTAATCCTTCCGCCTCAGCCTCTCAAGTAGCCAGGACTACAGACACTCACCACCATGCCTGGCTAATTTTTGAAATTTTTTGTAGAGGCGGGGTTTCTCCATGGTGCCTAGGCTGGTCTCCAATTCCTAGGCTCAAGCAATCTGCCTGCCTCGGCCTCCCAAAGTGCTGGAATTACAGGCATGACCCACTGTACCCAGCCTAAAGTTCTTATTATTTTTATTCTACTCTGTAACCAGATTTAACCCCTCTCGAGTCTCTTCTGAGAGCTAACTCACAGGGCACAGTCCCAACACCACGTTTTGGTATTCCTTGCAAATAACTGATATGCCATATCTCACCTGCCGAACAGTTCCCAAACAAGGCGTGTACGAGTAAAAACTACATATGGTTTATTCTCATTTACATGTACTAGGATAACTCATCATTTAAAGGAACTTTTTGGGCCTTTTCATCACTCTTTTTATACTTCCAGTTTAGCATTTTCAGGACATGTAATTATCTTCTATTTTTCTTACCAGACGATGAGCTCCTTAAGGGCAGAGGACATGTCATACTTAATTTTATATTCCTAGTACCTACAATAGTGCCTGGCATGCGGTAGCTTTTGTTTATTGACTTACTGAATGAGTGGAAGGATAATTGAATGAATGCATGGTTAATTCTTTTGTAAGGTAAATAATAATCTCTGAATTTTGTGTCAATTTGAGTTGTCACACTTTGAGTTTTCTTAAAGATAGCTGATCTTGGTTATCAGGGCATGGCATTATGTAACCCCTCTAATTACTATCCCATAATTCTGTGTTTGTTTTACCAGTCAAATAATTCATTAACCACAATATATGCCTAAGTATTTGGTTTCAATGATCAGGCTCAAACTGATAAAAAGAAAAGTATGTCTCATGTTCTACACATATTATATTCTTTTCCAAGCAATGGGATATAAGATTTCAAAAATATACTTCAAAGTGTTAGCTCTCATAATTATTGGGCTCATATGAAACCATTTAAGAATTCTGGGGTTTCAATAAAGTGTCAGGTTATACAGTGCTGCCATGCTGGAAGGAATTGTAGACACCAACCAAAACAGACACTTCACTTTTGCAGAGGTAAAAAAATGAGGCCCAGAGACGTGAATGTTTTGTTTAAGGTCACACAGCTGATCAAAGATCAAACTGACCCTGACTTCAGGCCCCCATATTCTCAGGCCAGTGGCTTTTTGGACACTGGGACTAGGATTCCTTAGTAATGTTGATTCTGAAAGGTGCAGGATTGGCCCCATAAGTCCAAACCAGCCAAGACAAGGTCATGATTTCTAGAACACCATCTTGTGGGGGCTGATCTGGGCTGGCAGCCAGTGGAAGAAGAGTCCTGTGGTCCACATTAGGGCTCTTGGATGTATACAGTCCATTCACATGGCGTTTAACTTTTAAGGTGTTAGAGAAATGCGGGTCTGCCACTAAAGAGAGGCAACATCAGAGGGGCACCCACACACATACAAAGTCTTCATAATGTCCCTCTGCAGTTTTTAAACATTTGAACTTTAAACTTTTAAACTTCAATAAATTATGTTGAAGGTTTGATGGAAACAAATGGTAATAAGCAATGGATTCCTTTTTTCTCACAGTGGATTTGTGTGTATAGAAGAATAGAAGAGGTGGTTCATTTTAAACTTTGCAATGTAATATTATACATGTTACTTTAAAGATTATAACTTTGGCTCTTTTTCATTTCTGCACCCAGATTCAAAGGATTCCAAGGAGAAGAATAAAATGGAAATCTTGTACATACTTGTGCCAAGTGTTGCCATTCCCCTGGCCATTGCTTTACTCTTCTTCTTCATTTGCGTCTGTCGCAATAACCAGAAGTCATCATCACCACCAGTCCAGAGGCAACCAAAACACGTCAGAGGTCAAAATGTAGAGATGTCAATGCTGAATGCATATAAACCCAAGGTAATGTTAGCAGTACAGAGCTGCATTTGTTCCATGGGTTTCAAGTTAAAACAATATTTTATAACCCTCCCAAGCTTAGAAATCGAATGATATGGAATCAGAGTTTTATAAGTGCTAAGGTTCATTTAACCAAATGCAAAGATGAACTATCTCCCTCTATCTTTTCCCAAGACGCTTTCATCAGTATGTCTACTTCAGTGTTGGGCCAGCCATATCACTGCCTTGTCATAGAGTTGTTGGGCTAGGGGTGATCCCTAAGAAATCATCCTGGCCAGCCCGTCAGGACTCAGACAAACTTCACTGTCAAGAAATCCTTTTTGTTGCATAATGTGCAAATAGTTAAAACCACTATACTATATACTTAAAAATTATTAAGACAGTAAATTTTGTTGTGTTTTTTACCACAATTAAAAAAAAATCCTTTGTATGCCTTGCATCCCTTCTTCTTTGGCTTAAGTGTATTTTAAGAGAAATGTTGTCCTTCCAATAGTCTTTGAATGCTGTTTTATGACAACTAACCTTAGCCTTCTCCACTTTGAGCTAAATCAACCCCTTCCCTTTTGCTTTTCATCTACATCTTTCAACGTTTGAGTTGCTCAAGGTCCTGGCAAGGAACCCAGGGTCACTGGCCCTTACCCTAAATGGAGCCCCTGCACTGCATCTTGGAACTAAAACACAACAGAGTCTTTCTTTCAGGAAAGCCAGCACCATAACCCCAGGCCTCTCAGCAAAAAGATTTCATTTAAATAATTTAAGACTCTTGCATCTAAAAGCCTGGTTTTTTTCTAATTATTCCAATTCTATAAGAACATTCATTCATCCATTCAACAAATATTTATCTTCCCTGTGGACTAGTAACCGTATTATTCTTTTGACCCTCATAAAAAGGAGAAGCATCACTTTTAATAAAATTTTAGGAAAAAAAAGTCTTCACACTCAAATTAACTAATCCTCTTATCTAATAAATGGAGTAGCATAATTGGGCTGACACAGAGCCCTCTTTTTTTTTTTTTTTTTTTTTTTGCTTTACTGTTTAGATTTTTTTTACTTAAAAAGTCTTGAAAATATTTTTGCTATTATAAAGTAATATTTATTGATAGGATTTGGAATTCCTTACATGCTAAATATTCAGTGTCTATATTCTGTATTCAGCAAAACCACTGTTCTCCTGCTGAGTGTGAATTTTTATCATTAAAAAAAAATCTACAGATCCTGAAGACCATAGAGTTCACACAGTAGCCTGGAGGATGGGCAGAGGTGGGGATTCAACTCTTTTGACATCCCAGTTTCTAGCTAACTGATTTACATATATTATAGCATTTTATATAATATCACATTTAATCCTTACTACTTAGTGCTACTATAAAAGTAGTGGAAGCAAATGGACAGGGGTTAATATTGCTGCACATTCACCTAGTTGACCTGGCAGATACTTTTACCTAACTCATGACTTCAAGCTTCTAGTGCAAGAGTAATTGTTCCATGAGACTCTTTCCCTTTCATTTCTGTTGGTAAATGTGGAAAAGTCTTAGAAACACCAGAACTCTGGGTGGGGGAGAGACCTAGATCAGTTTGGCTACAGCAGACAGCAGTTTGGTGCAGTAGCCACCATCCTGGAAAGATGTACTCCTCATTGCCAGGGCAGGAACCCTGGAAGAATCATTTTCATTTTTAGAAATTATCAATTTTGTGGGTTAGCCGTAATCTGCAATTTAATTCTATTTTTAGTGGAGCTTTGTTTTATATCACATGGTGTCCAACAGAGATCCCAGAAAGCTTTGTGGCATAAATAGGAAAAAAGCTAATATATATATCGATGAATACAAACTGTCAAAAACAATACCAGGAGCTTTTACATCCATTATCACAATTAATCCTCACAGCTATTATATAAGGCAGGTATTATTATTACTATTGTACAACCAGGGTAGTTGAGACACAAACAGACTAAGTAACTTGGCAAGGTCCAAGAGCTAGTTATTAGAGGCAATAAAATGTGAATACAGGATTTTTCACCTTTTCTAAATAGAGCCAGCCCTTGCTCTTGCAGAATCTGTGATAACTTTTTCACAGAACAGATCAAGTGGGGAAGGAGGAGAGAGGGTTAGGAAAGCAACTGAATGTGATCCCATTTGGTCAGTTTGTGCTGCAGAGTAACCACAGGCATTCTCCTGGCTTCTGACAAATCTTTAAGGGGCCTGCATGGCAGTCACTGAATGATGTAGTCCTAGCCCTTCCAGGGACATGTACAATTTGGCTAGAGCAATAATAGTTCCCCATCCTTCATGGTCAAAGAGACAAATGTAAAATATACTGGCATGAGTTTTCCCAGAGACTAGGTGAAGTAAACATTGTTTTCATAGTTTCTGGATCATTTCTGAGGTGTGCCTTGCTAAATCTCCCAGTGTCAAGATTTGTCCAATATGAGGCTTAGAGCTTAGCCTTCAACTGTTCACAAACACTCCTGAACCAGAGAAGTAGAAATGGCTTAAATATTTGAATGGGTTGGGGAGGGGAAAGGAAACAACAAAAACAAATGCTAACTTTTTTTTCTGACCCTTCTAAGGGACTTGGCCCCGATCAAATTTGAGTTATTCAATTGTTTGTTTTGGTTCTTACTGAGTGCCTTTCCTGGAAAAAGCACAAAGGACTTTGTAGACCTTAAAGAAAATTCCTAAATGTAAACAGAAAATCTCTAAAACTGCTTTGCAAGGTCACTGACACATAAATATTACATGTACCTATAAAATCTAAAAGGAAAGGACACACATAAGAAAGAAAGAAAAAAAAGTCCTGAAAACAAACACTCCACCAGAGCACAATCAAAAGAATCTTTGGAGGTGAGGATGAAAAAGGAATGAAGGATAGAAGCCAGTCTTCCCTAGCCTTATTCTTTTTTCCCCTTGGCCAATTCAAAAGTCAGAGACTCTAGGGTTCTTATTTATCCAAATGAATATGCTCTTCAGGGTTCAGACTCTCTGCTTCCATCTCTCTTCACTTGCTGAGCTGCTAAAATTCTCCTGAGTGTGCTCCTGTGGGAGATTAGAAACCGACACCCTCGAGAGAGGACAATAGGGAGCTGCCGAGAGACTGGCTGACGAGGCCCAGCTTGGGTCCCCAGAGAGGTAGGACGATGCAGTTTGAAGTAAAAGCTTTTGATGAGCCATGAGTTTCCTTCTGATCTGTGGGCAAAGGAAGCCAGTGGACCAGAGAGGCACCTTAACACTGAAGAGTCAGGAAGATGGAGATGCCCTGGATCCCCCGCCAGCTGCTCTGTGACTCTGAGAAGCCATCTAGCCTTTTGCAGTTCAATTTTCTCAGCTGTTCAGAGGAAGAAGTAGACTGAGCTCAAGGAGAAGACTGTTTATTTTCCTGTTATTTTGTTTAGCCAAAGATTTGAAGCCATTCAGTCCTCTAATGAGTACTGTAGTGATGCCTAAACGAAGCAGGATTGTTCTATATTGCATTACAAATTTTACAATCTGAGTGAGGTTGCTTTTTCTTCTTTTAGTACTGCAGAAACTGAACCTTCTCAGACGAGCCTGGAAACTCTAAATTCCCTTCTCTGTTTCTTTTCCTTTGCTTCTCCTTCCCTGGCCCCTACATCCTCTGCCAGGTATGACTCGAAAACAGCATTCTGTAAGCTTGCTTGGGTAAGGGAGAGAAGCTGTGGTATGTGCTACTGTGGGAACAGGGAGGGGGCAGAGTCTCCCCTTCAAGAACAGGATGGGCCCCATTCAGCCCAGGCCTCCTGGCTTCTCACCTACATGGAGATTAGGCAGGCAGAGAGTTTAAAAGATGGAGGAGTCTGGTGGGGGAGTGGTGGGCACAGTTGCTCACACCTGTAACCTCAGCATTTGAGGAGACCAAGGTGGACAGATTGCTTGAGCCCAGGAGTTCAAGACCAGCCTGGGCAACATGGGGAAATCCCATCTCTATAAATGCACACACACACACACACACACACACGCACAATTAGCCAGGCGTAATGGTGCACCCCTGTACATGGAGCTACTCGGGAGGCTCAGGTGGGAGGATTACTTGAGCCTGGGAAGTTGAGGCTGCAGTGAGCTGAGATCATGCCACTGCACTCCAGCCTAGACAACAGAGTGAGACTCGTGTCAAAAAAAGAAAAAAAAGATGGAGGAGTCTGAGAATAGGGGCGAGGAAGAGTCAAGGCAGGCCAGGGGTGTGAGATGCAGCCAAGCCTGGACAACCCCCATGAGTCAAACTCCTGGAGCTCCTGGCTGATGTAAGGAACATTGCAGGGGAAAGAAAGCAGGACTGGCCCAGCTTTCCAAAGCTGATGGCTGTGTTTTACTTCTCAATTTACCCTCATCTCTTGCCAGCTTCTCTGCTTTTTCACTTCCAGACAATTCATCTCTCCGTTCTCCTTTCCAGCCAAAGTAGTTGCTGAATATATTGAAATTTGATTACATTCTCTGGCCCTGTCCCTTTTGCCAGCAACACGCTTCCATCTAAAAGCCCTGCTGGAGTCTGGCTACCCTTTTTAATTCCCTGTTCTTACCAAATATCACCACACTTCATGCTAAAATATCCTCAATAACTTTTCCACTCACTCCTTAAAGCCATTGTCTCCCAACACTTCTGAGCTCACCATTCTATTAACATGGGCCTCTTGGGAATCACCAGTGATGTTATTTAATCCAGTGACCTTTGCCAAGTCTTCACCCCCTTTAATTTCTCTGGAACCTTTGATATTCTTAACCACCATCCTGAAATATTTTTTCTTTCTCCTTGGCTTTCCTCATATCTCCTTCCCACACTTCCTTCACTAGTTCTTTAATTCCCTTAATGAGAGCATCCTCGGACATTCTTTTCCTCTCTCATTCTCTTGTGCTGATTTCATCCTCCGGCGTTGCTCTAGCTCCCCCTTGAGTGTAATGATTTCCCAAACTGGAAGGCGCAATTTCAAGTTTAAAATTCTTGCCACCAAAATCCTGCCACCCAAAAGTCCGTACTATCAGGGCCTAAGTTAC